CGGCTCCGCGGCAGCGAACGGGGATGGAATTCCCTCTGCCTACCCAACCCCGGCGGGGAAGACCTCCCTTTGCCGCGGGTGTTACGTGTCCTTCGTGCTGTACTCGTTACCGACACTGTCGATTTTTTTTTTCTTTGGCCCATACCATCACTGTTAAATAAATACAAATATCCCATCCCCGAAGGCGGTGCGACCGAGAGTTGCATGGTCCACACTGGGCTTAACAAGTTTTTCTGTTGTCCTGGCGGGACTCCTCTGTTGGTCGTGGGGAAAGGGAGTGAGGGAGCCAAAGCTGGAAAAAAATCCTCGCTGCCAGAATCCTTCCCATTCTTGAGTTAATACAACACAAATCAACCATGGGTCGGAGCTCCCGCAGCGGGGCAACGACTTGGAGCTGCGGAAAGCAGAGATCCGCAGACCCTGGGACGGGAGCGCAGGTTCTTCTCCAGGCGTCCTCCGGGTGGGAGACGGGCAGAAAAGATGAAAAAGAAACTGTTTATAGTAAAATAAAGGAAATCCGTTTCAAGTACCCAGAGTAGGAGCAAGAACGTTAAAAATTAACAGCGGAAACAGGAAACACTTATCTGAGTAAACATTGTCTCAGAATTTCACCGTATTAAAACTGGGAGGGCTCGAGGAGCCCTGCGGGGCCGCCGCTACCCGCCTCCCGCTGCGGTACCTGCGGCGGGGCCGCCGCCGCCCGCCCCGCGCCGGGGACAGAAACTGGAGCCCTGCACGGCCAGACAACCCGATCCTCGTCAGCCGCTTTGGTGGCAAAGATCGGAACTGCAGGAGTTCCTGCGTGGGGAGAGATGAACAGTCCAGAAGTGATGTTCGGAAGTCAGGAGCACAGCTCTCTGCTGGTCCCTTCGCCCCGGCGGTCTGAGGTCGCGGCGAAGAAGAAAAGAGGCGCAGGGCTGGCGGAGGCGGAAGGAAGAAGGGTCCACCCGGTCCCGGTCCCGGGAAGACTTGCTTTGGCCGCGCTTTGAAAGTCCCCAAGCGAAACGACACTGCTGTGGCAGCGTGCGGCGGCGGGGGTGACGGCGGTGCATCTCCGGCGGCCGTGGGGAGAGGACCAAAGGCACCGCCTCGTCGCGCAGGGCGCCTGCCGTTGCCCCCGCTGTCGGGTTTCTGTGCCCCATCCGAAAATCGGGGAACGTCGTCTTTGCGTCGCGTTTTCCGGGGCTCCCCCGGTGCTGCCCGAGCCTCCGGAGCCCCGGTGGTGCCGCCCTCCGCTCTCCCCTCTTGCCCACGGGACGCTGCCGGTGTCGGAAATGTGCCGGCGGTGCCCGCATCGATCTGCTGGAAGGCAGCGGCACAGGTTGTTGAGAGGAATGCTCGGTGCTGGGGGACAACCATCTCGGTTCAGCAAGCTCGTCATGCTCCTTCTCTTTCTTTCCATGCGTATTTCTGCGTTCCTTCTCCCTATTTCTGTCTGTCTTCTCTAGAAGCCTGTAGAGATCTTCATGCTCCCTCTCCGTTGCTTTTCCCGGGGCTGGATTCCCATTCCGGCCGGGCACAAAAGCGCTGCTTGTAGCTGCAGGCAGCTGAACCAGGCAGGAAAATTTGGTCGGACGAAGACAGAAAAACATCTTTTTCCAGCCAGCACAGACCACCCCTGCCTCTACCCTTAATCAGACTGATTGTTGAACAAGCTCAGGAAAACGCAACAGACTTTGGCTTTATCCCTCAATCTCTATAAACGCAACGTCGGGTAATTAAAAGATTCTCTTTACATGTACCGAATGGAGATTTCTTTCCCAACAAGTAGAATTAAGGTACGTTTTAAGGAAACCCTCTCGCTATGTATCTGCAAAGGAAAGTATTGTGAAACCGGGAAGGTTGACGTAGCAGGTTCACAAGTAGAACACCAAGATGCTATCTTTGATCGCCCTCCCAGTTGTGCTTAGCAGTATATAAGCATCGCGGTGCCATCTGCGCAGGGCCAGCAGCAAAACAAAAGTTTCACATGGCAGCACAAACATCCTCGGCGGCTTCTGCAGCTCAGCAAGAGAGCTACTGAGAGCGTTTGTTCTTGTTCAGACAGGAGATGTCGAAAATGCTGCAAGAGCTTAGTAAACCTCGAAGGGAAATATCCCACTCCTGTTTGCCGAGTACTTCACTCCACAAAGACCAAGAACAGTTCCGTATTGATGCTGGAAGTTGTGATTAACTGCTACTTCCAGTATAAATAAGCGCAATTTTATCAGTGTGCTAATGTACAAGCCTCTGCTGCAGGCTCAGTGCTGGGTTTTGGGTGAAATACTTCAACAAGTACAGCGTGATTTACTCATGTAGCTGAGGGAATAGTGCCAAGATAGACATTAGGTCGCATTGAGAGATATCTTTATATTAAAACGTTTTTAGTTCCACCGAGGCTTAAAAAAGTAATCCAGGACAGCACAGGCAGAACATGGCACTCACCATTACAAAAATCAAGTTCTCCCCTTCCCAGGCAATGCAGTTTAACAGGGGCTAAGTTTGAACAGATAGGAGGTAAAACCTGTGGCTGAGTAGGATGTGAGAATGCACCATTTGCTTATTTCCAAGAATTAATCGGGGTCAAATAAAGAACAGCAAATGTTTTCGAGGCAGGCAACCAAAACAAATCACTGCAATTTCTAGGCTTTTTTTTTCTTTGTTATTTTAGTACACCATACTGTTCTGTTCACTAAAATCTTTGGTACACCCAGAAACACATCCCATGAGAAAAAGATATTTTTCCCTTAACACCACATTATCAACAGAGGTCATTTGCTACTTTTCAATGAATTATCCCTTTTATTTGTTTATTTCTTTGATCAGCTATAAATGAAAGTTATTCGTGTATATAAAACTGAAGTTTTTACTGTTGAAATTGAGCTGTACATGTTTACTACAGAAAAAAATATCAACTCTTGTTTAACAAGACATATACATCAATAAGCGATAACTTTGTGGAGGATTTGCAATCACCTGGTCTATAAAAACAAGCAGGACAAATAACAGCAATTTATATGCAAAAGTAATGATTTAATGACTATAAGCAAGACAAAGCAATTAAGAATTGTGCTTCTTTTGCAGACTGGAGACAATGAAATGTTTAACTACAATTTTTCCGTACAAACATGAAACAATATCCATATAGAATAAACACCCTCACAAATGTATAACTGATGGGTGATGAACACACACAAAGTTCGACCAAAGCAAAGCACAAACTGAAAAGTATCTGGGCTGTTCATATTTTATGGTGGAAAAGTTCCTTCTACTGAAAAAAACCCACTCTTAGAAGCCTGTAATAAAATGCACCTACTTGCAGGCCATTAAAGAGAAGGCATTCTCCACAATTTATTGAAAAGTACCTGTTAAATTTTAATGAAGTTAGTACTGTACCATATACATATATATTAAAACAAATTTAGATAAAATGCCTTCATCCAGCCACTTGCTGGTTCCTTAAACTTTATACCAAATAGTTTATGGCTTCTATAATGATTCCATGTGCTTTTAAAAACACAGTCCCACCACATCAAATAATAAAAAGGTTATCAAACAGGTCAAAGACTTCCATGTCCCTTGATTTTTTTTTTTCTTCACTGTATCACTTCAACATTTGGTAAAGTAAAAATATTTCACTTGAAAAAAACCAGACAAAGCCAGTAAAATCCTTTTAAGATTGCCAATTGCCTCCGGGTTATCAGAGACTTGAATGTGCTTTCCCAATACTGTAGCTCTCACACACAAAGTGTTTCTTGCAGTACAAGCAAAGCTCAAACAGGCGGCATCTGCAAGGGTCGAACCAGTTTAGAAAGTTAACAACCATATCATGAGTGCATGAAACACAATATTTTCTTTATAGTATTTATAAATATATCATACAATACTGTTTCCTGTTATGTCATATACCAATATGGCATTGTACAATAAGCATAATGCCATCTGATTCTTACAAAAGCGAATCATTTAAACAAGTCAGTAAATAAAACGGTAATACCCGCTTTTAGGCATACAGATTGTAAAACTGAAGTTTACTTTTCTTTTGATCGGTTCTGCGCAGCAACAGAGAAGTAAAAGATGCAACATAAGAATCAAAATGGCTAATACGCAAAAATTGTTATTCACAGTGACATGGCTACATATATGCATTTCTCTATGCATATTCTTTCGATTTTGTTGGATTTCAAGATGAAAAAGCACTTGCTTTCTACAGGTTCACAAAACAGCATAAGAACAATAACAATCGAAGAGAACGCAATGGAGGAGTTAGTCTGGATTAACAAACTACTTCCCGGGATTTGTACTGACTTCTGGAGACTCCTGACTCCAGATGATGGGGACAGAAACAACTCCACATCACTCAGAACAGGTGAAGATGTAACTTTTGTTTGCTTCTCAGTCCTCTGAAAACAATTTACATTTCAATCTTGCGTTTCCATTAACGTCCATCCTGAATGTCACCTAGTCTGGCCTTTTATAGCCAAGTTCAGTGTTACTACAAAAGAAAGCAATTTGGATGATAGTCACATGGATTAGCATCTATAAAGCTGTAATGGCATGGAGAGATCTATATAAAGGAAGGACGAGGGTGGTAGCCTGGTTGGCACGTCAACCAGATGAAGTGGCTGAGGAGCCATTTATTGATGTTTTCCGAGCTCTGTTGGTAAAGGAGGACTGGTGGTTACTGCTGGGGCTGCTGCTGGTGCCATTCATGGTGCTGGAGATGTGAGGGAACTGGGGGTGAGGAGACTGGACCGGGGTGCTGGGGCTGGGCAAACAGGAGGAGGTGGAGGGGATGCCTCCTGCTGGGCTGCTCGCCTTGTCGCTCCCAGAGTCACTTTCCAGCTCCCCACTGTTATTCAAGCCTTCTCTCTGGTGACTGATCTTCATCCTCTTGCAAGTAGGTCGGACCCGGTATTTCAGGGGCAGAGGCCCATTCTGTAAAGCAAAAGGGAGACCCTTATAAGCACCCTCCCCAAGCCATGACCTGCACCCCCCCTGGAGGAGACATACTGGAGTCCTCCTGGAGATACTCACCCGCCTCCAGGTATAGATGTAGGCAATATCCATTAGGGTGTAGTAGTCCTTCAGAGGCTCCTCTTCATACATCACATCGATCTGTTCAAGATATGAATCCTTGCATTAAGGAACATCCAGGCATTCAGCCCTAGCACATGACTGATCTCAGGTGAAAGTAGCCCTGCTGTTACATATCTCACAAAATTGGAAAAAAACCAAACAAAAAAAGCTATACCAAACCCAGTAAGAAGTAGGGAATTTGCATATCTATTGGACATGTTTTAAATACATCAAGGAGCAATTTCTTTATACTTTGATATTTACAGCATTAAAAAAAATTACAGTGTCACCATACTCTACAGATAGATACTTTAAAAATAAGCCCAGCAACGTATTGCACACACCGTAAATACTTGGCAGTTAGCACTTGCTGGAACAGGCTGTAATGAGGAAACGAGTCCTAAATAAAAAACAAAACAAACAAAAAACTTAAAAAAAAAAAAAAATCACTCCTTCCCCATAGGTACCTGGAAAGTGTTAGGTATATCCATTTTACTCCGCAGGAACTTTCTTAGATGCATCACTGTCATTGCTGCTGGGCAGCGCAAGTATCTTTTGTCATTCACCTGAGAGCATAGTAAAGAAAATCAGTCTACTGAGAACAAGCAATTACTCCCACTAATGTTGTACTCTAACGTTTCAAGTTAAAAAAAATGTATCTTATTAAATTATGAACTATAACATAACAATGTCCACTGCCTTAGAAGGCATGTCACAAATAAGTGGTAAATTACAGTTCTAAAGTAATTAAAATATGTAACTAAATTTATACATAAATATTTGTATTGTATGTTTTTAGTTTATAATAAAGTAATCAATAAATTATTAAATATTTTTTAAATTTTACAAAATATCAGATTCTGCTTTAAAAGTAACACTGCACGCATTTTTAATTTTAAAAAGTTGCTTACATATACAGCTGTATAAAAATATTTTACCTTTTCTGTACCTCATGCCATAATAGGAGGTGCACCTCCTTTGTTCTAGATACACATACCTATGTATTTTTCTCAGCTACAGACCTGTCCCAAAGTTGTGTGTGTGTGTGATATGCTTCCTCTGGAGTAAAGGAAAGTTATTTACCTCTTCCTTTGATTTTTCTTTCTCCTTATTTCCTTTTCGTTCCAGTCTGTGAGAAGAAATGACACATTTACAACAAATAATAAATACAGCTGCTATCAATCAGGTAAACATAAAATATTGCAATTCTGGAACTTGCCTGTTCTGGTCAAAGAATTCAATGGATAAGCTTATTATCTCGTCGTCTGTTATAATTCTTTTGTCTTCATCAGCCACTTCTCCCCTGTCTTCATTAGAGCCATTGGCAGCTGCGCAGAAATTTCCACAACAATTTACATTTTGAAATTCAAATCAGGAAGAATGGCAATTCTCAGTAACAAGAAAAAAAAATCTTCACAGTAAGATAATGAATGAAAGCTACCTGACAAAACAATAAACTTTTATTATGCTGACTTTACTTCTTAAAATTCTGTGACAGTAATACATCACTTGTAAGTTAAAAAGGAAACAGTAAAACATCTAGGTCAATGCTATATTTATTAAAGTTGCAAATGAGAAGCTTTTACCATCAGCCGACGGATGAGCAGCATAAAAATCCCTTCTTCTTTTCATTTCATCTAGATGGAAAAGCATATAATTTTCTTTTAGCATTTACTCTGTAACTCCTGGTATTGATATAGGATAGCAGCTCTGGTTTTGTTTTCTGCTCTTAACAAAATGCCTGATTTAACTACTTACTTTTGAAAAGGCCTGGTACTAGCTTGTATACAATATCTTGGAGAGTTTTATCTGACCTGAAAAAAAGAACAACCCCAAAACATGAAAATAAGTAGGTGAAGTAATATTTTAATCCCTACTTATAATCTTTCACAACAAGGCATCTTCTACAAAGGGGGAGGCCAGTCATTAAAAGTTAACTTGCAGGACCTTGTAATCAAACTAGTCCTGCTCTAACTACCACTCTGAATCAAAACTTATCTGTGGTACCTCAACTGAAGGTTCTCGGACTAAAGGAAGGCCTTAAAAACTACACATCCTCCCTAGAAAGGAGAGAGAGCAAAATGCAGTGCTGACAAGGAAAATGTTTCTGAAAGGCAAATGATGCTTTAAAGGTTTTTGCCTCTTAGCTTGGAAAGTTGCCGCAAGAGTTTTCATGATTAGGAATTATCCTGGAGTGATGCATGTCTGGGAGATACAGAAAGCAGAGGCAAGAACTGTCCGGTGGTACACGTGAGAACTGGGGAGAGGGAAAAGGCATTACATCAATGACTGGCTTATGCTAAAAAGACAAACAAAAACTTTCTGTCTCCCATGCAGAGAAATCTTCAGTTTCAATCAGTGATGAAACTCCAAAGAGAACGCATACACACCAGTTAGCTTGTAAATTGACAAGCCCTTTCAGATTTAAATCGCAGACGAAGAGATAACATTGACACCGACTACTGCTGGTCTCCCCACATAAAGCAAAATAAGAGATGCAGGATGCACTTCGCAACTTTCTCCTACCTTATATTCAAAAGCGGCCGAGTTTTGTGAACTTGGACATCACAGATAGGACAATACTTGCTGGTCTCCAAGTAACGCACGATACAGGTCTTACAGACTGTAAGTCAAAAACGACAGGCTTTCAGTGATGTTCGAAGGTGCCACTCAGATATGCATAGATAAAGGTGCGATTTTCTAAACTATGCAAGCTAGAGCAAATCGTCCATTGTCAGCAGCGAGCTGCTTAAGCTAAACAAATACCCAAATAAGCCGCAATTACCATGAAAAGGAGACGCTTATAGTACATATATTATTACTTTAACAAAGACCGTAGGGCTGTCCTCAGAAAATCTGCACCGCGGCCGGAACACCTACTTCCCCACCCGTCGGGGAGGTAGAGGGCAGCGGTCCCGAGCCCCTCGGGGGGTTTGGGCTTGGGAGGATTTTTTGTTTCTGTTCCCGGGATGCCGGGAAAGGAGGGAAGCGGCGAGGGAACAACGCGGAGCGCCCGGTCGTACTTACAGGAGTGGAGGCACTCTATGATGGTTGTTGCATCAATGAAGTACCCGCCGCAGAGCACGCACATGAGATGGGGGTTTAGCTCGGTTATTTTGATTCTGGTTGTTCGGTGCATTTTGGCGTGGCGAGCAGCGGCTCTGAAAGACACACACACAGAGGACCGGTCAGCGGGGACGAGCGCGGCTGCGTCCCAGGTGCCGCGGTCCG